ATGACAAAAGATAGGCCGCTGGACTGGTCGTACCACACATCACCGGGAAGGACGATCGGCTAAAGAAACTGTGGATGGCACACGTCAACGAAACCACTCACGGGGGCAAAGACCCGAGGGTCATAGCACGGACGAACTTGCTCACTGGCTGGCCAGACTTGATATCGAGGACGCCCCCGACCATGTGATACGTCTGGACAACGTTCACTCGGGAATACTGAACATATGCACGCGCCCACGTGGGATTGGATCTTGACCCATCGTCCCAAGCCGCACCACAGCACCAGACAATATGTCCTTTCAGCAGCTCATGGAGCGAATGGCAAGGAAAACATCTCGGCCCGGTGCGACCCGGGCTCCCAACGAATACGCGACGAGGAGAAGCGTCTGGACCTTTTGGTCAGCGTGGTCCCGAGCGCCTCTTTCGGGAGGCAGTTGTTTCCTGCCCACCCGGGTGCGGATTCAGCGGGCGGCCACTGACCCGACTTGAAGGTCCACGAACAGCTACAAGGGAGATCAGGAGCAGCGCAGGAAACGAGCTTGTTGCTGCCACAGAGGAACGCAGGGGCCCAGACGGCGATCTCCTGGACTACGACCCGAGCAAGGCCAGCGAGGAGTCTGAAGCGGACGAGGCAGAAGAGCCCGATGGAAGCCCAGCTACAGGGAGGGGTCACAACGCCGGGGCTGCTGACGATGAAACATCCAGCGCCACAGACGATAGACCCCCGCTGCCGAGGAGGCGAGATCCGCCATACTGGGCTCCACGAGTAGGGTACGTGCGAGGCAGGAAACAGAGCGGTAGACGAGAACAGCGAGACGCTCCCTTTCATCACACCGCTGATTACAGGACTGGTTCCTCGCGCGGACACAGAAACCAGTGGAGTTACGACAGGTCTTCAGACCGCCGGGCCACGCAGTCTCGTGACCACGCCTGGCACAACCCGAACGCGCGCACAGGAAATGACGGGATATTCAATCATGGCAAATGGGCACCCCTCTCCAAGAGCCCAAGAAGAACGACGGATCCAAGATGCACAAGGCACCGCTGCGCACGATCGACGCGCAATACCCCGGGGAGTCCGACAGCGCATTCGTCTCCAGGATGCAGAGGGAACTAGGCTGCATGTTCAGCGACCTGTGGGTTGCACACTGTGCCAAAACCTGCCGCACTAACGCCCAGCCGACTGTCGACCTGGCACAGCTTCCGCCAGGCGGGGCGCTGCAGGCTACGACGTGCAACGCGCCGACCAGTTCATGCGCGCTGAGGCCAACTTTCGCAGACCAACTGATATGGCCACGGCAGTCAGCAACGCCTCCAGCTCCGGCGCTGCCAGCAGCAGCGGGGCCGCCGCCACCGGGTTCCACGCGGCGGGGGGGCGCCCGAGCAAGGGGAAAGGCAAGGCGAAGGACGGGCCCGATTCACCGGGCAAGGCTGGGAAGAGGAGCCGAGCAACCGAGAGCCCATGGACCGAGAAACGGTATCGACAGTAACACCGAGTGTGGGGCACCACCCAGTTTCGTTGAGACGCGGTCGTGACATCGCACCGGGTATGCGGTGCACCCAGTAGCGCTGCGCGCCTACACTTCTAATTCTCTTTTCTACGCATGCGGCGGTTAGCCGCGTTCTCCTGCTCTCCTTCTCTTTCTGCCCCCCACGCAGTCATTGCGGCTCAATGGCGGCTTCAGACTGGCAGCCCACCGTGATTGCCCATGCCAAGCGCCCCATTGAAGAGCGCCCGGAATGTTTCATCGACGGCGCCTCCTTGCGGGCTCTTGCAGTAACTTGTGCGCGGCTAAACAAGATCGCACGCGTTGCCTGCGCCCGCTGGCGCATATGGGGCGGCGCCCCAGTCCAATGGAAGACCTCATCGCCCATGATTGCACGCTATTTCGCGGCTGAAAGAGCCCAGCTTTACCCGGCACTTCGCGCGAGGAACAACGGCAAGTTGGTGCCAGTGGCGGGTTTACTGAGGCAAGCTTCGATGCAGAGCGCCTGGCGCGCGCGTCAGTGCACACAGGGTGATGGCGAGCTCTCCTCCTTCTTCTTTTCCTTTTGCTTCAGCGGCGAGCTGGCTCTCCATCTCTTGTTTCACTGGGATCCCCCCTCGCGGCCAGGGTTGCCGCCGATGCCGCTGCCGGACGGTGCTTCGCCAGCTTGGATCCCGCGCAAAGTTTCGCACTGGGAGCGGACGGCGAGGCGCCCACTGGCTGCCTTAGGCCGGCGCCGCCCCCCTGCTGATGACCGAAAGGATTCAGTGAGATTTCGATGCATTACTGACAGTTACGGTGCAAGGGCTTCGAGTTCGGCACGCGTCGTTACGAGCGTTCATTTTCCACGGGTGCTTATTTGGCGCAGTCAGGGTTGGCATAGCCACGGCTGGCGCAGTCAGGTTTGGCATAGGCAGCGCGGACAAAAGTGGCACAGCCACGATTGGCACAGTCAGCATCAATTTCTCGGGTATATGTTTCTTCCCCCCTCCTCTCACACCGCGTGCCTGGCGCGCGCTCCCCCCCCCCCCTCCTGCGTCCTAGTGCTGCAGCGGTTAGCTGCCACGCCGGGGTGCCCACCGTGCCTGGCGTGCACTTCCACTCCTCTCCTCCTGCGTCCTTATGCCACAGCGGTTAGCTGTTGTACCGGGATGCTTTCCCTCCTGTTTCACAGGGTTCTTCCTTGGCGGCTGGGGTCTGCTGCCCAATGCTGCTTCCTGATGGCGTTCAATTTCATGCAAGGATTCACAGGGAGTGGTGCTGCGTCGCATTCGCTGAGGTCAGGTGCCCCCTTGGCGTGCTCCTGGCTGGTGTCGGCCCCTACTGATGGCCGGAAGGTTCCAGTGGGTCTCTCGCTGCACTGCCTACCTCGGGTTCGGCAAGTGTGGCTCTGTACGCTTGTTTGCCGACGTTCTCCTACATGGACTTCGCTTTCGACAAGTGTTACAGGCTTTACTGCCGTTTGCAGTCTTGTCGGTGATGCGGTTGCCCCTCGTCGCTCTTGTGCCGCCACGGTGTTTTGGCATTTGCGTCGCCTACTTCACGGATGTCGTCTGGGTGTGCTTGTCGGTTTAATTCGTCTTTGACGGTGCTGTTTGCCTGACTCACACCGAAAGCGATCTCTGCGTGTTTATGGTCGCGCCGCCGCGCCATTTTGGCTGCGCTTACTTGCTGGTCACCACTGGGATTTCCAACGCCACCGGGTTTGGGAGTTTCGGTTATGGCTCTCCTTCTGAGTGGCTGCCCGCTCGCTCGCTTCGCTTGCCTTTCTCTTCGTGCTGCCTAGTCGCGGCCCGACTAGTGTTCGGACGGTTTTCGACCCGCCCCGCGAACTTGTTGACCAAAAAGTATCCCCACCAGCCCATCCAGAAACGATGTCCAGGCGAATTGAGAGGTGATCAGGGAAATGCGGGAGCGAAGACGGGGACGGCCGAACCGTGTGAAGGAGAGAGGGGTAAAATGGGATAGTGAGGATGAAGGGGAGGAGGGGGGGGGGCGGAGGGGGAGGAGGAGGATGAGAAGGGATAGGAGGCGGAAGGAGGAGGAGGAGAACAAGCAAAAGGACCAGAGGTCTCTTGGATGCTTCGCGGAGCCTCTTGGGGTATCTCTTGGGCGTCGTGGGACGTATTGTGGGTCTCTTGGCGGTCGTGGGGGGTTCCTCTGCGTTCTGGGTGCCTCGGGGGGGCCTCTTGGGGCCGCTTGGAATCCTTTTTTGGGGGCCTCCTGGGGGCCTTTTGGGGGCTTTGGGGGGCCATTTTGGGTCCTCTTGGGGTTTCCTGGGCGCTTCTGGGGGCCATCTTGGAGGAGATCGATCGAACAAGAGGGGGGCATTAAATTGGGCCACCCCAGGAGGCCAAAATGGGGCCAAAACCTAAGTAAAACCAATGACTGTGGTTTCCTCGCCGAGGCCGTTTTGGACGCTCCGACGACCCGCGAAACCCCCTGTCCAGGTCCATGGGGAGGGGGGAGGTGGAGGGGTCAAAACCCCCCCCCGCCCGCAAGCCGTCTCGTTCACCCCCACCCGCCTTCCCAACACATACGTAGCACCCGGGCCTGGCCCGAACCTCAGCATATTCAGCAGTCGTTTTTGGATGGGTAGCTACTGGGGGCCAATCCGCCGCCGCCACCGCCGCCTCCGCCGCCGCCGCAGCCGCCGCCGCTGCCGCCGCCGCCGCCGCCGCAGCCGCTGCCGCTACCGCCGCCGCCGCCGCCGCCACCGCCGCCACCGCCACCGCCGCCGCAGCCGCCGCCGCCGCCGCCGCCGCAGCCGCTGCTGCAGCCGCCGCCGCCGCCTCCGCCAACTGTACTCTGTATTGCTTTTTGACAAGGATGGTGGTGGGGGGGGGCGCATCGGGTTGGCTGCGTATGTTCCGAATTTGGAGGCAGAGTGTGTTTTGTATTGTTTTTTACAAGGGATTGTGGGGGGGGGTCGTCATGGACCTGGGTTGGCCCCCGGTCGCCTGGGGGAGGGGAGGTCTATTAATAGGGGACAGTGATAAACCCTTCCCCGAGGGGAAGAAGGAGGGGTGAAAGAGGAAACTCCCGAACCACTTACGCCCAGAGGGCTGGTGGGAGTCCAGGTCCGTTTTGGCACGCTTCCAGCAAGGGGGATGGAGCCGGCGCAATGGGAAGGGATGGGCGGGAAGGGCAGGATGTCAGATATGGCGCGAGCGTATTTGTCGCCCGTCCTCCCCCTCTCTGCCCTCCAAGTCCCGGGCAGCGGCGAAGAGGAACTTCCTGCGCCGACGACGACTCACGACGATGTCTACGGCGACGCACGACGGAGGACAACCACCACCACGACGCACGACGTCCACGACCATGACAGCGACCAACAACCACGTCCCACGACGACGATGACCGCAACGGAGACCAATCACGACCACGACCGCGACGACCTCGGCGACCATGGCTGCGACCACGACCGCGACGACGACGACGACGACGACGCCGACCACGATCACGACCACGACCACGACGACGATGACGATGACGACGACCACGAACACGAGAGGACATACCTGAGCATCCCCGGCGCGGAGCGGCTGAACCACGTGGAGCAGCGGCTGTTCGAAGCGGGTGCCGCCCCGCCGCTGCCGGCCGGTAGGCCAGCACGTGGGGGGTCGCCCAGAAGGCGTCCAGAAGGCCACCAGGAGGTTCCAGGATTATCCTGGGTCCAGGAGGAGGGAGGGAGGAAAAGGGAGGTGGAGGAAGCAAACGATGAGGACGGGGGAGGACAGGGATGAGGAGCAGGAGGAGCAGGAAGAACACGAGGCAGACGGAGGCGGCATGGGAGGAGGACGGGCGCGCAGGGTCTTCCCAGCTGGATGGCCTGGAGCTCGAGGGCCCGTGTGCAGTTCGTCGTCGGCGGCGGGCTCTCACAGCGGCGCTCGAGGCCGCGGCCGTGGTCGTCGCCCCGACTGCCTGCCATAATGGCAGCCTGCCCGCACCCGCTGCGGCGGCGTCTGGCCGGCTGGACCCTGCGCTCTCGCGCCTGCTTGCCGCCAGGGCCGCCGGGGCCGCCGCGGGGCCCTGATCCTCACGGTGCGAGTCGCCGAGTTGGGGCATCCAGGGCCCATTTCGATCCGATCGATTCGGTTCGATGTTCTTGGCACCGCTCGGACGTGTGCACTTTTTTCCTCGGCGGCGAGGGCCACTGAGGAACCTCGTGGATCATGTCCCCAAAAAATAGAAACACGCGGCAGACGCATGCACGGGCAATGGACGTCCGATCGATGGCAAGTCTCGATGCGAGGGCGACTGCGATTGTCGTCCGCAGGCCACCTCGGCGCGTGCGGCTCGCCGGGAGCAGGCGCGCTGGCCACCGTCGTGCACTGTCTCGGCGATTGCTTTCTGCGCTTTGTCGCGAGACTGCACCCGAGGGTCCGCGTGGCTTTCGGGCGCGGCTCGCACGCACCGCAGACAGACATTCACGTTGGCGCCATTCGTCGGTTGTTATTCTCACTGGTCCCGCTGTTCCCAGGCCGCCCACGAGGCCCCCGACACGGCCCAAGGAGGTCCCAAGACGGGCCATGGCCCGCGAGGCTACCTTGACGGGTTCGGCTGTCAAAGTGCCCCCATGGAGTCCCCAAGAGAGTCCCCCCCAGTCCTCCAGAACCTTCCCCATGAGGCCTCGAGCAAGACGCCGAGAGGCAACCCAACAGATGCCAGCATAATCCCTCCGCCACAACCCCCATGGGACTCCAGAGTTGCCTCCTGCCACCATTGACCCCCCGAGATTTTGCCTCCTGCCCACATTTGCCCCCATACCCAGAGGTCCCCAGGATCTTATTAGAAGATCCATACTGTTACATATGTTCGCTTTAAGATCCCTCCTGTGCGGTTCTTAGTTATGCTACATGAGATGTGCATCTTTCATCATGTTACATGAAAAACCTAACGTTCGAACTCGTAGCCGAGGCAGCGACCTTGAAAAACGGTAGAGCCGAATGGGAAGGAGGTTGAACAGTTAGGAACAGGAGGGCCGACGAGCTCTGAGGATTGGCCGATCGGTGCCCTCTAGTGCCCCAAATGGGGTGTTCGAGGGCCCGAAAAGTACATGTTTCCCCCCCCCCCTCTTTATCGCCCCTCATCAGGCGACGCCCACTTGCTTTCTGCGTCTCATTTCCCCCCTAGGTTCGCCGCCGATTAACGCGCGCGGTGCTCCAGCACTGCCCCGCTCTTGATACAGCCGCCCAGCTCTCGCGCAAGAGCCTTCCCGTGGTGGACCTCCCGAGGCCGCCGGAAGACGGCTGGAGGCCAGCGGGCAACAACGAGGGGGGCTGCGATCGGCTGCGCGTCATCGCCGGTCGTTGAAAGTCCTCGGCTTTCCGTGCCACCGTGTTTGGCGGCCTCGTGGAGCCCCTTTCGCCCTTCTGGGGGCCCTCGCGAGCCCTGAGAAGTCACGCGGGGAAACGAGGGGGAGCCAGAGGGAGCCGCGACAAGCCCAACGAGATTTCGGAGATTTGAGTCTGGGGTCCAACTGAGGACTGCGGCTCAGGGGATTGGGCTCAGGGGGGCCGTGACCGGCTTCACGTACACGCCCTTCTTTGAAAGTATATAATGATGGTCAAGGCTTTTAGACTGGTGCCGCCGACCCAGGGCGACGACGACGACGACCACGACCACGACCACGACCACGACGATCAACGACAACGACGAGCTGATGACCATGCCACAGGCTCGGGACATGGGGCAGGCGGTGGATGGAGGAGGAGGAGGAGGAGGAGGAGGAGGAGGAGGAGGAGGAGGAGAAAGAGGTGGAGAAATGGGCGGAGGAGGAGGCGGAGGAGGAGGCAGAGGACGAAAGGGAGGTGGAGGGGGAGGGGACGGGGGAGGAGGAGGAGGAGGAGGAGAAGGAGGAGGAGGAGGAGCAGGAGGAGGGAGGGGAGGAGGAGGAGGCGGCTGCACTTACTCGCCGGTCGTTGAAAGCGGGCATTCTTGGATATCTAGATTTGAATGTAGCTGAATTGTCATAAGAACCGATATGAGTTTGCTGTGCTTTGTTGTCATGTGGGCGGGCTCGAGCCCAATCTGCTTTATTCGCATTCCTAATTTATGTGTCCACCTACTTTTTCCGACTGGCGGGTATCCAGGCCTCCCAGATAGGGTCGGAGTAACAATGGGGTTGGAGGATCGCGCCGCATCGCCGAGGCATCGGCGCTGCGGCTCGATGTGGAACCCGATTTTCTCAACGCTGGCGTCGCCGATGCACCCCGGACGTCGCCGATGCATCGCCGATGCATTGGCGATGCGACGCGATCCTTCGGCCCCATCTGGGAGGCCTCTACGTAGAGGTGGCCCCTCGCTGGGGTGGCCTCTGGTGCGCGGCTTCTGCGGGGGGCAAGACACTGGCGCGTAGGCCGCCGTCGATAGGCCTCGAGCGCGCAGCCGACATGATCGACATGACCGAGCACGCAGCTGACCGCATGACTGACACGGGGGGGACAACAAAGGTACGTTGCACCCCGAAATTGCGGGTGAGAGTGAGGGGTCGGCAGTGTCGGTGGCAGTCTGCGAGGCTCTGAAGAAGCTCGCCGAAGCGCCATTATGTAAACATTGCAAAACGGACCCGCCGCAGACGCCGGTGCTTGTTCGCAACGTGGGTGGGTCGTTGGATGGGCCAGGGGACAGAAAACATACCGATACCAGCGCATTCTGACCAAGATCTCGACGCGAGGATTCTGGTCAGAACGCAGCATCCTCGCGATCTTGGTCTGGATAGCAGCATTGGTACGGGTATCTTTTTCTTCTCTGAGACTCAGCCACGCGCAGAGGCGGGTCGGGGGAGGGGGAAGGGCTTTTTACAAGCACCCCTGCTTCTTAGAAGGCGCGGGCCTTGTCTTAGAAGACGTGGTCGGGTGAGATCCCTGAGAAGAGAAAGGCGTCCTGAGCGCTATCTCCGTCGCTGCGACTCAGGAGGACAAGCCAATCTCGAGGGAATGTTTGGGGTCCAGGACCCGTTTCCCTCAGTACCCGTTGCATTCATGGTTGTCATCCGATCGTTTGCCCGCTCATTGGGTCGCTCGCCGCCCGCGCCGCAGGTTTCGACGTGCGTGGCGACTTCTTCAAAGTGTCCGAGCAGCCAGAGGCCCGGCGTGTATTGCTCGCAGCGCTTTCGTTTCTGTTGCCTTTTTTCCTTCTTGTGCCTCTCACAGGGAGAGCGGGAGGAGGCGGAGAACGGAGGCGGAGCAGGAGGTGCAGGAGGAGGCGGACAAGCATTGCAGGAGGAGTGGGACGCGCAGGGGGAGGAGCGGCCTTCCCGCGCAAGCGTCCGGAGAGTCGGAGGACGATGAGGAATGGGCGGAGGAGAAGGAGGTCGTAGACGTTACACGCCGGTCGTTGAAAGTAGGTGTTGTCGGATGCCTTAGTCCTAATCTTCTTTAGGCGCCTCCCCACTTCAAACTCCGAGTGATTTCCCTTCTTGTTTATCTGAAGGTGGCGGGCGGAAGCTCTATCTATTTCGAACGCCTTTCTATTTCATGGTTCGACCTTTCTTCCGACCGACGAGTAAACCGACGGATAAAAATGGAGGGGGGAGGAGGAGGAGGAGGAGAAGTAGAAGGAAGTGATGGCTTGGACGGGGAGAAGGAGGAGGAGGAGGAGGAGGATTTTAATATTCGCTCGCGGGCCGTTGCAGTTGCAGGAGGAGGAGGACGACGAGGAGGGAAGAGGGCGTCCTGCTCGTCGTCCTCCTGGTCGTCGGCGTCTGTGTTAGCGTCGTGGTTTTCGTCGTCGTCGTCGTCGCGGTTGCCCTCCTGCTTCTCTTGAGCCGCGGTGAATTTTGTTTGATCTTGGATTCATTAACCCGGCTCTTGTACCTCGCAGTAGTCCCTGCTCTGTTTCTGTTGTTGCCGCTCCGACGCCTGAGTACGCAGGCGAGTCGTTGCCTGTTTCACAAGTCCGTCGTCCTGTCCTCGTCTCGTCGTCGTCGTCTCTTATTTGGGACCTGTCCTCCACGTGCGGGGCTCGTCACATGCTGGATGCTGAGTGCTGAATGCTGAATCCTCATCCTGCTTCCTTTCCCCCACCACTCCTCCTCACCCCCTCACTCCACCTCCTCCCCTCGCCTTCTCCCTCCCCCGTTCTCCCACTCTCCCTCCGCTTTCTCCCCTCCCCTTCCCCCGTCCCTCTCCTGCCCCACTTCCTCCTCTTCCTCCTCCTGCTCCTCCTCCACCTCCTCGTCCTTCTCCTCCTCCTCCTCCTCCTCCTCCTTTTCCTCTTCGTTCTCCCTCCCCCTCCTCCCCCCTCTCCCCATCCCTCCTCATCCCTCTTCCGTCTCCCTCGTGATCGTCGTCGCCGCCAGCCGTTGCCGTCGCTGCCGCCGCCGTCGCAGTTGCTGCCTGCGCTGTCACGTCGCAGCCGCCGCTGCAGCCGCCGCCGCTCCCCCCCTCCCAGAGGGCGCATCCCTCTCGCGCACCGGCCTGCTCCGCAGCACATCGGGCTCCGCGTTCCCGGGCGCGCCGCCGGCCGCACAGCCGCCACGGTCGTCGCCGCGGCCGCAGCGGCCGCCGCCGCCGCCGTCGCCGCCGCCGCCGCTGCCGCCGCCGCCGTTGCCGTCGTCGTCGTCGTCGTCGTCTTCGTCGTTGTCGTCGTCCTCGTCGTCGTCGTCGTCGTCCTCGTCGTCGTCCTCGTCGTCGTCGCCGCCGCCGCCGCCGCCGCCGCCTCCGCCGTCCTCGTCGCCGCCGTCGTCGTCGCCATTAGCGTCGTTTCCCTCGTCGTTGCCACCGATGTCGTCCTCGCCGCCGCCATGGTCGTCGCCGCCGTCGGAGCGCTGGCGGCGCACGCAGTGTGGGGAGCAGCAGATGGGGGGGTTCGAGGCAGAGAATGGGAGGAGCCTGGGATCGGCGGCGAGCGAGGGGGGAAGTGAGAAGGAGGAAGCCTTTTGTGAAGGCGGCGGGGCTTCTCAGAAGCCCTCGCGCCTTCTGATAAGTGTTCTACAACTCCTCAGAAGGCCGGGGGACCCCCGAGCCTTCTGAGAAGGCCCGCCCCCTCTCACTCCCCCCCCGGGCTGGCCGCCGATGGGAGGAGAGGGCGGGAGAGGGTAGAGGCAGAGGAGCGGGTGGTCAGGGTGGGAGGGGGGGAGAGGCAGAGGAGGACGAAGGAGGGGTGGAAAGGAGGGGGGGAGGGGGAAGAGGGAAGAGGAGGACGGAGGGGGAGGAGGGGGAAGGAGCAGAGGGGTGGGATACTGGACTATGCCAAGAGAAGCGCGCACCACAGCGCTATGAACATGGCGGGAACCCACTAACCCACTCACGCAGTGGCGGTCGGCAGCGTGAGCCAAGGCCCACCCTCTCCCTGCAGAGACAGAGCCGCCAGCAGGAAAGCTCAGTCCACAGAGGCAGGCTCCCTCCTACAGAGACTGGCGCCCTCTTACTGGGGCACACTTCAGGAGGGAGCAAACAAAACAGACACAAATGATAGTCGAATACAATGAATTCACATCTGGACAGTGGAGGGGGCGACGAAGCTCCTGGAAGTAGGGGACAGACGGGGAATCCTGGGATTCGTGCCTGTTCGTTTGTGTGAGCGTGGGCCCCGTCAAAGCTCCTCCGGCCAAGCCCCCTCCCCTCCTGCACGACGGGCTCCCTCCTGCAGGGACACCGACCTCCGCGCGCCCACGGCAGGCCCATTAGTGGCCCCCCCCACGGGCCTCGACGCCCGGGACCCTCCCACCACCCTTGGGTTCCCTCTGTTGGGTTGGATTGCCTTGGGGCCCCTCCTAAGCGGCACTGCGCTGCATTGCTTTGTCTTCTTCGGCAGAGCACCGGTGTGCATTGGTCTGCATTTGTTGTTGTTGATTGGTATTGCTTGGTATAGTTCGTAGCTTGGCATTGCTTTACATTGCTGGGCATTGTTTGGTGTTGCTTGGTGTTGCTTGGCATTGCGTTGCACTGCTTGGCGTGCCTTGGTATTGCTTGGCATTACTTGGCATTGCTTGGAATTGCTTGGCACTGCTTGGCATTGCTTGGAATTGCTTGGCGTTGCTTGCAGTTGCTTGGCGTTGCTTGGAGTGCTTGGCGTTGCTTGACCTCGCTTGGCATTGCTTGGTGTTGCGAGGTATTGCGTGGCATTGCTGGGCATTACTTGAAATTGCTTAGCATTGCTTGACGTAGCTTGGCGTTGCTGGAATTGTTTGGCGTTGCTCGGCATCGCTTGGCAGAGCTTGACACTCCTTTCCGTTAATTTGCGTCACTTGGCATTGTTTGGCAACCCGGGGAATGCCTTTTCAAAAACAGAAAGGAAATAAGACCAAGGAAGACAGAGATTTTGAGGAAGTCGGGCTTTTCAAAAACAGTGAGGAAGCAAGACCATATGAACCGGGGGAACCCGACGAATGTGCGCCTTTGCAGGTTTGAAGCCCTCGCATTGGTCAAACACAAGTAAGAACTTCAGGTATGCTTGATTCGGGAACACACACGTGGATATTCTTATTGTTTCTCATTGGTCGGTTGGTGATCTCAGACTCGTGTCTATCGGCTGGCTAGGTGGCAGACGCCGAAGTAGTGCGAAGAAGGACTCATGATGAAGGTGATGAGCATGTTGACCATTGCCTTCGTAGGAAGCATAAGGACGAGGATGGCATGGGCGTTGCGCAAGATGATGCCTCCACGGCCAAACAATATTGGTACTGGCATGGGCGAGGAGCAGGGACGAGGACAATGATGAGGAGAAGGTGGATGAAGAGGAACACATCGTGCACCAACGATGCTGAAATACGCCCGCCCGTTCCAAATCCCCTCCACATAAACCCTTACAGCATGGTGGTGTTCGCTGCGGAACATGCCCCGCGTGAAAGACGAGCGCTCTATGTTCCTGCAGTTTCAGCGCAGGCTCCGTCTTGAAACGGAGGTACCATCCACGTTTCTATGTATCAGGACGGCGGGGCAGGTCCAGAGCCCCGCTTCGGCAAAGAGAGAACACGATCCGTGCAGAATTTCTCCAGTTTTGACGCGTTGACACACATATATATATATATACATATATATATATATGTATATCATTCAAGGACGACGCAAACAAGAGCCACAATTTGAAACGGAGTGCCCTCTGTCCGCGTAGTGTTCGGACAGCTTTAGTGCCCAGAACATACGAATTACGGAAACATCAAGCGAACGTGGTTCCCAACGTTGTGTTTGTATTTAGGGGTTCTGACGTTTGTTCGAGGATCTTTGGCCGTGTCTTCGGTCTGGCGGCTATGTGGCCGCCGTCGTGCCCCCGCCGCCGCCTCGCCGCCACCCGTCGTTTGGGCCGTGTCTTCGGCCTGGCGGCTATGTGGCCGTCGTCGCCGCCTCGTCGCCGCATGCCGCTGCCTCGCATAGGTTGCACCGCGTAGATTCTGATTGTTTAGTAAAAACAGAATAAACCCAGCCCTCAACCGGGATTATCGGCACCCTTTCTCGTACTGCAGTTCGCACATGATTCTGCGCCATTGCCCATCCTAAATATGAGTTCGTACCATCCCAGCCCAAACGGTATCGCGCTCCCCCCGCCATCCTCTGCAAAACATACTGTGCGCGCGCAACGTTTATCAAACACCATAAGTTGTCAAGAACCCCTTGCTAAACAAGGAGCTTAATTTTACACGCGCGCGTCGTCTCTCGCGCATGCCGCAGCCGCAATCCTTCAACAACCTTCGGTTGCGTAAAGATTTCAAAATCGAATGCCCCAAAATATTTGAAGCCATGGGCCATACGCTTTCGCAGCGCGGATTTCTTAGATACATCAGTTTTCAAAGAAGCGTGCGCTCGCGCTCTTGCGGATTCCACAGGAAGCCATCGGTTCGTAAACATTGTCATGGGATTCTGCGAAAGAGCGTGTTCTACCGCTGCTGGCGGAAAACCGAGGGGGGCACTAGGTTCGAACCCCCCTCCCAGTCCATCATGAAAAGGGGGGGGGTCACAACCGGTCGAACCCCCCCCACCCCTCCCCCCTCGAAATCCGGAGGAGGTCATTACCGGTTCGAGCAGCCCCCCCCCCCCTCGAAAACCAGGGGGGTGTGCGGACAGTGGTGGGGACGGTGGTGGTGAGGACAATGGTGAGGAGACAGCGGGACAGTGGTGGGGACATTGGGACAGTGGTGGGGACGGTAGTGGTGGGGGCAGTGGTTAAGGCGGTGGTGAGGACATTGGTGGGACAGTAGCACGGTGGGGAAAGTGGTGGGGACAGTGGGACAGTGGTGGGGACAGTGGGGACGTTGAGACAGCACACTGGGACAGCGGCGGGGACAGTGGGACATTAGTGGGTACAGCGGGGACAGTGGGACAGTGGTGGGGGCCGTGGGGGAAGTGGGGGGAGTGGGACCGTGGTGGGAATGTTCGGGACAGCGGGGACATTGACACACTGGTGGGGACACTGGTGGGGACAGCGGTGACAATGGTGGGAACAGTGGGGACAGTGAGACAGTGGTGGGGACGGTGGTGGTGGGGACAGTGGTGTGGGGACAGTGGGAATGTGGTACGCTGGGACAGTGGAGGGTGCAGTGGTGGTGGGGACAGTGGTGAGGGCGGTGGCCAGGACGGCGGTGGGACAATGGGACAGAGGTACAGTGGGGACAGTGGTGGGAACAGTGGGACAGCTCAGTGTGACAGCGGAGGAGACAGTGGGACAGTGGGGACAGTGGGGATGGTCAGGCAGTGGTTGGGGCCGTGGCGAAAGGTGGGAGAGTGGAACCGCGGTGGGAACAGTGGCGGGGACGGTGGGAACAATGCGACAGTGGTCGGGGCATTGGTGGGGACAGTAGGGACGGTGGTGGAACCAGTGGGGACTGGTGGTGAGGACAGCGGCGCTGGGAACAGCAGTGGTGGATGTGGTGCGGACGGCTGTAGGGACCGGGAGTCGTTTGCTGGCGGTGAGGGGGGGGGGGGAGGGTTTCGAACCGGCAGTACCCCCCCCCCGGCTTTCGAGGAGGAGGGGGGGGGGTCGAACCGGTAGTGACACCCCCCGGTTTTCGAGAAGGGGGTGTGTTCGAACCGGCAGTGACCCCCCCCGGTTTTCTGGAGGGGGGTGGGGGGGGCTTCGAACCGGCAGTGACCTTCCTCTGGTTCTCTGAAGGCAGGCGGTGGCGGGGACAATGGGGACAGTGGGACAGCGCCGCAGAGATGCACCAGCCAACGCCGAGCACTCATCGCAATCGCCGCCGCATGGGGTCTGCAAACCCAGTTGCGGGCGGGCGGGTGGGATGTTTGCGCGAGCAGCGGAGTGGACAATTTGAATTTGAGCACTGGTTAGTTGCACCGCATAGATTGCGCCTAATGAAATTGCATTGCACCACTTGCACCACATGGGTCGCACAACATGTAATGCTCCGCGTACATTGCACATCATTGATTGCACTGCGTAGGCTTTCGTTTTCTAAAAAGGAGAGGTTCTACCACCCCCCCCCCCCCAGACTCAACGACCCCATTTTTTCCGCGCGTATGATTCTGCCCCATCGTCCATCTTAGTTGTGAATGCAT